TAATAGTTATCACCAACCTAAGCCTAGTTTAGTTCGTATTTGTTGCTCCAAATAAGTGTAAATTTATATACTGTGTTTTTTTTCATTTTCTGTTATTATTTACTTTATGACTCAATGTTTGATGTATATGTGCCCTTTTATGGTGCGCTTTTGTTGTTACACTTCACTCATATTCTGATAAAGATGATATTGGTGAACAAACTCCAATAAACTTTAAAAAAAAAACAGTAAACAACATACTTTGATCTTGTTTTAAACTTCATGTTTAGTTACATAAATAATCTTCGGTATATCACAAAGCATATCCACCTAAATATACCAGTTGTTGCCGAAGTTTTAATTTTAAAATATCATGTAAAAATCGTACGAGCAGTCACAACAATAACCACCAGCATTTAAAAGGTTAATATTCTGGAAAACCCATTTAATAACAGAAGGCAACTAGAAGCATAAGGAGAGGGGGGCGTGGCCAGGACACCGACCAAGATGGCCACTTGATCGCCGAGCTCCGCCGCACCGACCCCTAAAAATAGCGATCCTTCATCAGCTAGCGTGGACAAATGGGTCGCAATTGATGCTCAGAGCACCCGCAAACCCCGAGAGACTAACAACCAGGTCCGCAGCAGAGGCTGATGGACGGCTTACTGTAACCACCACGTGGGAATGGCGGCGGGAACAAAAGCCCGGGTCTGGCCCCACAGTACCCGACCCCAGTGGCGGGGGGAGACTCACCAGCACTAGAAAAAATTGGGGACGAGCTGACCACCGGCGGCTGCCATGGCAACTAAGGCTGATTTATTGACGCTCACCACCACTATTCAAGATGCTTTGCGGGCAGAGATGGCTGGGCTCCGCACAGAGGTAGCTGCTCATGCAGGCCATATCCAGGCCCTGGAACACTCCTCAGAAACACACTCTGCCAGAATTAATGCGACTGACACTGCCAAAGCCAGACAGGGAGACCTGATTCTCCATATGTGCAGAAACCTGGAGGACCTTGATAATAGAGGCCGCAGGTGCAACATAAGGATAAGAGGGATTCCCGAGGCCAAAGATGGAGAGAATGCGGAGGAGGCACTGACAGGCCTATTCTGTACTATTTTGCACACTGATGCCCCGTAAACGATTAAATTTTAATGGGCACATAGGGCCCTATGCCCGCGCTCACTGGAGGATGGCCCTAGAGACATTATCTGTTGCCTACATTTGTTTCCAGTCAAAGATGCAATTATGCGGAAAGCCCGGGAACGGCCCACATGGCCTTTCCGTGGAGCCCAAGTGTCCCTCTACAATGATCTCTCTTCATATACGCTTGAAGCTAGATGGGCACTTAGGCCAGTGACTGCCGTACTACGCGAACGCAACATCACTTATAAATGGGGAATCCCCTTCGCTTTAATGGCTAGACATCAAGATGGCTGGATAGCGGCTAGGTGGCCCGACGAAGTACCAAGACTCCTCGAGTCTTTGAACCTACCCCCAGTCCCGTTCACCGACTGGGTTCTGGACCCTTCAGGGCCTGGACCACGACAGCAAAGAGCACCTCGCAGACGCGGTGGACGATCACCGCCGGGGGCGCCGCCACGGAGACGCCCAGGACGTGTGGAACAGGCTTAGTGAGATACAATGAGGGGGACTGGCCTCTTACAGCGCCCACAAAGGTAACACACCATCCCCGGTCAATTGCCTGGAGATTTGCACAGGGAGAGAAGGCGTGGGTCCTCTCCGCACATGTATATCGCTACAGTAGTGACTTCTTTGGGAGGGGGAGTTTCGGGAGGGAAATGGAACGAATGAATGCCCTCATGGCTACCAGAAGTATTGGATGGCGAGACAGGTATGGGATAGGCTCGGTTTTAACCTCGCTCCTCCGGGTCACAGTACATGGGCTTTTGGTCACACACTGGGGGCCAGACCTCTGCACTGCATGCTTTGGCAGCACCCTCCACACATGGCCCGAGGACCCCACACCATGAGCCCAATGTTTTGCCTCTTGGGGGGTGTGGAAGCTGGGAACTCGCTGGGTACTGAAAGTCCCCTCTCTCCTGTGGTCGTTCAAACCCTATTGAAATTCTTGGGAGGTACGGGCTCATGGGGGGAGGAAGATCACTCCGGGACGCATTGAGGTTTTGGGTGGAGGCGCAAGGGGAGTATGACTTCCATCACACTTCCCTGGGACATGATAACATCATGGTGTGGATGGTAGGGGCATACAAAGTTCGAACTCCCTTATACCACTGGCACGCCCACCCGGACGAGTTATGGGACACATATATGGGAGGTCTGGTCCGGACTTGAAATGTGTATGGGGCGCGCCACCTGGTCTTGATGATGGCCCGGGGGATCCCAAGTCATATCACCAATATTAAGTATTATTTGCTTATTTGCTGTTGACATGCATGTTGTATATTGTTGTTGCCTACAAATGTATAGGGGGGAGATGGATACAACCAATAGATGGGGTGGATTATGGGCCCGAAATGTAGATCAGGATTGCTAACTAGGCCTAATGGATACATGTGGAGCTCTCTGTGTCACAACCTAGGGTAAGGGGGAGGGAGGGGATAGCGGGACATGGGAGCTACAGCCCACTGGGACACGCACATTTGGGCATTCATGACCGAAAGGAGACAACATGAAAGGGGGGCAGGGCGGAGGAGGGGGAGAGGAGGTACACCTAGTTTATAATCACACCTACCCTCAAGGCAATATGGTCACTACAAGTTAATGTTTTTAAAAAAGGGGGGGAGAAAAAAAAAAAAGCTACCCACCCTTTTGATGATGTTGAGCCAGTGAATGCCTATGGTGGATACGAATATCACGGACCTTGGGGACAGGTAGAGACACTGGGAGGATGGGTTCTAGAGGGCTGAGTCACACTTAGAACCACACCACTGATACATGGGGTACTCCCTGTTGAGCTAAAGGCCCCTTGCATGCGCTTAGGTTGCCTGGGAATACGTGGTCGACTACATTTCGGTTGCTTACCTTCTCCATAGTCCCAGGAGATATAGTGATGGCCCATTGGGGCGGGTGGAGTCTGGGGTAGATGGGTGAATGGGGGCTGAAAACTACTTAGTGAGCAATTTGAGCAAAGAGAAATTTCGCGGCAGGGAACAGGGGGGGACCCAGAGGGGAGGGGGAATGGTGGGGACTAGGGGTCGGGCCATGGGAAACAGGGCTCTGTCTGAAAATTCCCTGTAAGAGAGCCGGGACGGGCACACAGGCATTACTAGCCTGACATGCCATAATTGCACTCAACTTGTTACACTGTTACTTATGTTTGTTTGCCAATATTTGAAATGGATCTTTTATATTAACCTTGAATGTTAGCAACAACAGGACTCAGCAGACACGAGCTCTCTGAACGATACTCACACACTTTCACCCACTTGGTCGGGGCTGAACCACGCACCTTACACCACACTCGTGCTTACCCTTATACAGCGGAAGCCTGTGGGCCCTCGCCTGTCGGTCTGGTCACCGGGGCAAGCCTGCAGCGTTTCCGGCCGTAGCACGAGTCACCTCTCTACCAGAGGTGGACCAACTGAGACACCTACTGTCTTAGTTGCAGCACCCGACTGATCGGGCAACTGTCTCTCTTTCTTTTCTTTCTCTAATTTCCTTCCCTACTTTCCTACTCACCCTTACCTATCCTGCCTTTATACCTATCTGACTCCACTCCTGTTTCTCTTCCTCGGGTCCGCACCAGGGGGGCCGGGTCCCTCACGGGGGCCAGTCGGGAGGGGGAGGAGGCAAAGCAATGAACATCGGCAACAAGTCTGGGGCCGCGGGAACGTATCGCCCCGCTCCCCTGTCTGTCCTCACCCTCAATTGCAGAGGGCTAAACATCCCTGAGTGAAGAACCCACCTGCTGCGGGAGATGAGGAAAAGGCACATATCAATCGCACTGCTACAGGAAACGCACTTCCGAAAGGGCGCCGCCCCCAAACTGCAGAATAAATATTATCCGACAAACCACTTATGCGATCATCCTAAGACCCAGAGGGCCGGAGTGGCCATTCTAATTGCAGCAGAGCTAGAATTCCAACTGCTGGACAGCCTGCATGACGACCAGGGCCGTTTCCTCTTCCTGAAAGGGACAATAGCGGGTATGCTCTACACACTCGCCAATATCTACACAGACAATAGAAGACAAGCTCAGTTCCTTAGGGTTACACTAGACAAATTGAACGGCTTCTCTGAGGGCACCTTGGTCCTTGGGGGGGACCTCAACGCACCCCTAGATCCCATCATAGACTCATCGACGGGTCACAGTAGCATTACTCAATTCAATATACGCTCCATGAGGAGAGCCCTAGGAGACACGGACCTCGTAGACTGCTGGAGGGCCCTCCATCCCACCACTAGGGACTTCACTTACTACCCTGCGCTGCATAATAGATACTCCTGTATTGACTATATCTTCATTCGACAAATAGGATTAACGTGACTGCTATCTGCCAAGCTTGACCCAGCAACGTGGTCAGACCACGGCTCCGTCACCATCGAGATTGAGTCACCCCTCTTCCGACCCTCTGCATGGACTTGGGGACTCAATGAGGCCCTCCTTCTCGACCCTGAGACTCATGGGCAGGTAACCGAAGAACTGGAACACTATTTTCAGGAAAACGACACGCCGGACGCCTCCCCTGTCTCTATATGGGGGGGCGCACAAAAATGTAATCAGGGGCACACTCATCCGAAAAGCTTCCAAAAAGAAAAAGGCGGCTACACGAGAAATGGCGGATCTCTACAAATCTATCACGAAATTGGTACAGCAACACAAGAGATCCCAATTGATGGAGACGTGCGGAGAACTAATGCAAGCCAGATGCCAACTGAGAGACCTCCTCACAAAACGCCATCTACGAACCTTGCAACACTCCAAAGGGTTCTTCTACGCACATGCCAATAAAGAGAGCAGATACCTAGCACGACTCCTGAAAGGTAATGCCCCTCACACACAGGTTCGCAATCTGCGCCTCTCATCAGGTGCCATGACGGCCTTTCCGAACAAAATAGCTGAAGAATTCAGACAATACTACCAATTGCTCTACAATCTACATGAGCGGGACAGACAGGATGAAATGGACACCGAATATACCAGAGGCAGAGGAACTGGACACCATGATTACCGCGGAAGACCTTCAGGCGACCCTGAAATCGACTAAAACGGGATGGCTTCTCCTCAGGATACTACAAAACTTTTTCATCAATACTGATGCCATGGTTAACGAAATCCATTAACGCAGTCGCCGAGTGGGGACCTTTGGGAAGGAATCTCTGGCAGCCATAATAACTGTTCTGCCAAAGCCCGGGAAAGACCCAACGGCATGTAGCAGCTATCGTCCAATATCTCTGCTGAACAATGGTACTAAATTGTTCACCAAGATCCTGGCAACTAGGCTCCAAAGGGCCTTGCCATCACTGATACACGCAGATCAAATGGGGTTTATACCCGTACGGGAAGCACGAGATAGTACCATGCGGCTATTTGCGATACAACACAGAGCGAGGAAAACGTGACAACAACTCCTCCTACTCTCCACAGACGCCGAAAAGGGGATATGGAGAGCCCGTGATGAGACCCCTGTGATACATACATGAGCCCTGAGATAAAAAGGAAGGGCGATTTGCGAAAGTTACTTTATAGTTGCTGAGTTATGGTTGTCCACACCGCTTGGACATAAGAAGATTACTGATCACTATAGATATAGATTGTTATACTTGATGTACACCTGACTACACTATAGTAGATACAAACAGGTCGTGCGTGACCTTCACCTGCTTATGATTGCATTGAATTGAGCTGTTCTTTCTCTATATAACTCAATAAAAACCGATTTACAAAAAAAAAAAAACTACAAGCATAAGGAAGGGCAGCTGATTGTATCTAAATGTAAAATAGCTTGAACGAATTGCGATTTTTCTCAAACAGTAATGAAATCTTAGATTAGCAATTAAGGGGGTTAGAATGTAGTAATAGAGGCCATGTTCAGTTATTCGTTGGACACATTCTGACTCCTGAACGTCACTGCTACAGTTATTAAAACCTAACCTGCTTGCATTAAACATAGCATTATCCTGCGGTAAGAAAGTATGGGACGCCTTGTCAGTAATTAAATTATCATTACTCATTTCCAGGATTCTGCAAAAAGTTTAAAATGCTGCGCTGAAGAATTATCGTGGAAAATATCCTCTGATTAAAAAATATAAATTTACAAATTTTCAGCTAATAGAAATATTAGTGTGCTATATTTTTATTAGTTAATTTTACATAAAGCTTCAACACATGCAATGACTTAGCAAAGAGAGCTAAAAGAAGCTGTGGGCGACACATCGAGGTACCCCAGCTAACAAGACAAACTGTTCTAAAGAGTTTTGGCTCCTTACAATGGCGAGATGCCAGAGCACTACTGGGATCTTAACTGCTGGCACCTTAACCATTAGTAAACACATTGTAGTGGTTATGGTGTTTGGTTTTGTTCCTTTAATGACCTAGGTAAAGGTCAGATCTCAATTACTAATTGTTAATAACAATGTGTGTCATGAGTTTGATAGTAAAAGAAATCCCATTCAGTCCAGAGCCAGATTAAGATTGGCCAGGGCTCCATGCAAGGTTCCAGATTAAGGAATTCAAATCGTCCATAGGAAAGCATTACTCAATGCTTTCCTATGGACGTCAGCGTCTTCTCACTGTGAGAATCACGGAAGCAGCCACTAGAGGATGGATTAACCCTCGGTGTATTGACAGGATGTGTCCTAACCTTCTGTTAGAACCAATGAAACAGGGGTGTGGAACTGCACTCAATCCCCATGGTGTTGTGAATCTGGGTGCAACCAGGCCAATCCCAGTACCAAGAACCAGTTACTTGATAGAACAAAAAATAAAAAGAGGTCCAGGCCATCCAGTATTCAAAGAAGGCAATTTATTAACCCCACAGCCAATCACAACAACGTTTCGACCTGTGCGGTCTTTGTCAAGCTGCCGTCTTTGAATCCTGGAGTGCCTGGACTTCTTTCTATTTCTTTTTCTAACCTTCTGTTAGGACACATCCTGTTAATACTTAGTTAATGTACCCCTTTTTACCCCTTTTTAAATTATCACCATTATGATTGGAAAAGCAACTACAATAAGTGCAAAATTAAAGTGACACCAAACATTGAAAATATCGACCCATAAAGAAAAGTAAGAGGAACAAGAAGAAAGAACTCAAAATGATTGATATAAATATATTTACCTAAAAGTAAAAAATCCGTCCAAGCATAATAACAAGCGACCATATAAAGGAAACCTGCAAAACATAATAAACTCTCATTCTTTTTACGTATAAGCTGCAGCGCCATCTGCTGTTGGAGTCTGTCAACACACTGAGCACTTATGATGACTGATGTTGCATCTCAAACAACTGTTCTTAACATCATTTCCATTCAAAAAGTACTTACCAGCCTTTTCAGTCAACTAGGTTCAATCAAACAGGGATTTTCACTAAAGTCAAAATGCAGTCTGAATCAGCGAAATTTAATTAAAAGAACCCAATTTAAACCAAATTTGCCATTCAGATATCAACAGAAATAGGTCTATCCACTAAACTGTATTTTGACCGGATTAACAACTCTCACATTTACTAAATCCAAATTGGAAGGGAATGTGGTCATTCCAAGAAGAATGCACTATCCAGCAGGTTATGTTCGGTGTCAGCTCTACAATCAGTGCTTTTTAAATCTGAATCCTTTATAAAGTATTGGATCTGGACATTTACAAAGAACAGATTCTAAAGAAAATCTCCCTAACAGGGTTAGTTCATTCACTACAGTGAGAATTTTAAGTGAATTAAAAGTGAATTTCAAATTTACGGTCAAAATCGTCGAACTGGAAAAATTCTCCAAGTCAGCTGTGAATTCTGTTTGGATACTCTGAACTTATATATGAAATCCATTGTGAACTCTCATTTTGGTAAAAAAAAAAAACCTCTGTAAATGTATCTGGGAGGAAACCTATTTGGTCATTATAAACCATTTGCCTTTTGGCAAGTGAAATATAAAAATCTAGACTGTTTGCCCACAGGCAGCACAGGCTGCTAGCAAGGAAACAGTTAAATGGACACTCCAGGCACCATAATGACTCCATCTCAACAAAGTTGTTATGGTACTTGGAGATCCTGAGAGCTATCTTACCTTAAGCAGTTCAACTATTTATAAATGGTTTAATATACAATCGAGTAATAATGAAGTATGCACACTCAAGTACTGGGGAAAAAAAACAAGAATAACAATTAAAGGGACACTATAGTCTTGAGAACAACTACAGCTAAATGTTGGTGAGTATAGTCAGTCCCTGCAGGCATTTTAATATAAACACTGCCATTTCAGAGTAAAGGCCATGTTTACATTGCTCCCTAGGAACACCTCTAGTGGCCACTCCTCTCTAGGACACTAGAGGTGCTTCCTGGATCAGTGCTGCATAGAGCAATTCAAACAGGAAATCACCATAAAATTTTTTTTTTTTTAAATTAGAAAGTAAGCTGTCCCCTAATGGGTACTCCTGAACTCTATCACAAGATTTTCAGACCTAAGGGAAGTCTAGATGCAATTACACACTCTCTTTAAGGTTTAGTAGTTAAAAATTTAAAATAATGAATTGTATCAAAGTATGCTGATGTCTGCTACAATGAAGTCCATTTTATATCCAAGACAAAATATATATTATTCAATATCTCAGTAATAAATTCAGAAATTTCACTGGATATTCTCCTAAAAAATGTAAAAAAAGAACAATAAATGAAAAAATTTAATATAAAATATATATACTTAGTTTTACCATCTCTCAAAGGACATACGATGTTGCAATATTACTACTCAGTACTGTGCAGCAACAAAAGTAAGCTATCCAAAAATTGCTCACCTTTACCTATACCCGTTCACCTGTTGTCCTTACTTGCACCACCTTTAGTTGGTACTAACCACTGCACACCAGGAACACCCAACAGGACTTTTTGGAGATGCTCTGACCCAGTCATCTAGCCATCACCATTTGCTCCTTGCCAAAGTCACTCAGGTCTTTTCGCTTGCCCATTTTTCCTGCTTCCCACACATGAAATTCAGGAACTGGCTGTTCACTTGAGCCTAATATATCCCACCCCTTGACAGGTGTTATTGTATCAATACAATCAATGGTTTTTACTTCACCTGTCAGTTGTTTTAACCCCTTCCCAACCAATGACGTACCAGGTACGTCTGCCAAAAAACAGTTAGTAACAACCGAGGACGTACCTGGTATGTTATTTACTAAATCGACACTTACCTGATCGCTGGCGATCCCCCACCGGCGATCGCGATCCTGGGGTCTGCCTGGGAGCTCAGGCAGACCCCCACTGCTCGATCCGGCACTGCCCGATCCGGCCCTCCCTTGCAATCACATGGCCGGAATAGCAGGCTTGTGCAGTACCTCCAAGTCCCCCTAGTGCCTGAAAAAAAAGTTTTTACAACGTTAAAAAAAGTTACATTAAAGTTTATAAAGTACATAAAAAGTACTTAGATCATATATGTATATGATCTAAGTACTTTTACATGCACATAAACACACATACACCATTATTAAAATTGTATTTTAATAATTATATATATATATATATATATATATATATATATATATATATATATATATATATAAAATACACTTAGAATGATGTTAATTTTATATATATATATATATATATATATATATATATATATATATATATATATATATATATAAATAATCCACAAATTAATTGAAAAAAATAAAATATTACATTTAAATAAAAAATAAAAATTATAAAGCGGATTAAATTTGTTCTAACTGTATTTTGATATTAATTTACATATATATTGAAATCAAAATACATTTAGAAGGACGTTATATATATATACATTTATCCCTATACTGGGTACGTCTGCCAAAAAAATGGTCATTAAGGACCTACTTCATACCCCTACTTTTACCCTTTGTGTCACTATACCCCACTACCTCTAGAATGTAAGCTCATTGAGCAGGACCTTCCACTTCTCTGTTCCTATACGTCCAATTGTCTGGTTGCAATTACATGTCTGTTAGTCCACTCAATGTACAGCGCTACGGAATGTGATGGCGCTATATAAATAATAAAATAATAATAATGTACCTAGTACG